TTGGTTCTGCTGAATCAAATAAAATGCTAATGATCAAGTATTCAGATACCAGTGATCCATTTCATGCTCATTTCCTAACAGCCTACATGTATTTGCCCATCTCCAGTGATACTAATGAATTGGCCTTGGTTGATTTCTAAGTTCTAATGTATACCCCATTGTGACAGGAGCAAATGAATATTTATAGTTCAAGGCACGTTACTAACCTAATGATAAAAAGTTAAAAATACATTTTAATACTAGGTATGCTTTACAAATCTCCCAAAATGCAATTCTTCCCTAAATTAAGACATCTTGTCTGGGCACAGTATTTTCATTAGAAAGTATATGTAATGCTTATTGATAAGAATTAACTACCATATTAACACTCTTAATACCTATGTAAATTACATGTGCAATCATTTAAAAGTAAATATTAAAATCATTATTTGTTGCCATTGGAAATGTTCTTTAACTCTCTCTCACTTAGAATTAAATAATAGTGGAAGAGGGAATTTCTAATCACAGAAAGATAATGATAACAATATCGGCTTTATTTCTCCTAAAACTTTTTTTTTCCAAAAAGTTTGAAGGAAATGTCTCCTTTGATTAACCTTCTACTCCCACTTAGAGTTCCATATTTTTACTTCTGCCTTGATCTGTTACAGCTTTTTCATTCCTTATTATTGTTATTTTATTCCTTGTTATTGCTTGTTATTGGTTTTATTTAGAAACATTTCATAAAGGAAAAATAGATTGGCTTAATAAAATAGTAATTTATTTGTATAATAGTTTTACATCTTATTTTAGATGTTCTTTTTGGAGGAAAATGAATTGGAATCCTATAGGAAAGCTTCAGAGTCTGCATTTTCTGTATAGATATGTGTGTGTGTGTGTGTGTGTGTGTGTGTGTGTGTGTGTGAGAGAGAGAGAGATGTGTGTGTAGTATATAACTTATATTTTGCTGTGAAGCTGTGGCTTCACCAGGACTCATGATTATAATGATTAAGAGCCACAAATTTATTAAGCTCACCTGAAATAGCATTGTTATTGTGATGCCTTCATTTGTCATGGAGGTTGTCTTTTCTCTATAAGCCTCTACCCTCTCTCAGTGTCCTAACAATGAGAGCCTGGATCCAGGCTAGGAAAGTGGTGAGGGGGGCAGCTGAGCATCCTTCTCAGGAAAGGGAGTGTTGAGCCTGTAGGTGGAGCTGAAACATAAAACTTGTTGAAATAAAAATTAAGAAAGATAAAGAAAAATCCCACCACCATTCCAACTCTAGATAGGCTAGAGAAGGCTGAGAAGGATGTAGACTATTTTGCTGTAATTGTTCATTCTAGAACATAGATGGACATTTTTTTTTTTAGTGGGGTGTATCAGAACCATAATATTGACTTACATTTCCTCTATTTTATTAGTAGTAACATGAAAGAAAACATGCAAATATTTTGAGACTAAGGATGTACAATAGCCTACTTCTTTTATATACAGATATATAATAACTAATCTGATCTGTAAAAAAGATTTCAACTACAAGCACTTACTTTTTCAAAATACATTTTTTAAATTTTAATGTCACATAAAAAGTGCCAACAGTTCATTTTAATTTTTGACTTAATAACTAATGCTTAAAACCTCTACAATGTAGACAAACCTTACTTCATGGTATCAGTTGCTAATTTCTTATTAGCTATTGTTGATTGACAAATTGAATTATTGAAATATAGCTCCATGAACTGAATTTCCTATTTCTCCTGTTCCTTTTTTTATTTTTATTTATTTATTTTTTTTATTTATTTATTTTTTTTATTGAGTTTATTGGTACATTTAGGGATACA